GCTGGAGGTCCAGCCACCATTTTGGGCCATAATAACAAGGGTATCTTGAAGGAGTCTAGGTCCCTAGAATTGTGGAGTCACCAAACAAGCACTGGACTGCTTATCACCACACTTTTATTTTTTTAAATGTGAGAAATAAACTTCTATCTTATTTGACCTAATATTAAATTTTTGGTCACATGAGGATGAAGCTAATTCAAACTGATCCTTCCTTTTGCTTAGCTAATTCCCTTGTTTTGCTGAAGCACATCCTCTTAGCCATGGTTTGGTCGGGAAATAGAAGCAACTCTATATATTCCAGGTTTTAATGCAACAAAGAAATTGTTAGATCATTACTTCACACAGTTTATCAAAATTAATTCCAAATGGATTAAATAATTAAATGTAAAAAGGGAAATCATAACATATAGGTAAACATTTATATGATTCTGAGCTGGAAGAAGACCTTCTAAAGATGACACTAGTAGAAACCAATAACGAGTGGAGTGGCTTTAAAACAAAAATAAAATCATTTATAAGACATAAAACACCAAAGACAAATTAAAATGAACAGGAAACCATGATTAAAACTCAGGGCTGCTGATCAGATGTTCTTTCCTTTGGCCAGGGTGTCTCAACCTCGGCCCTATTGATGTTTTGAACTGGATGACTGCTTGTTATGGGGACTGTCCCGTGCACTGTAGGATGTTCAGCATCATCTCTGGCTTCTACCCGCTAGAGGCCAGTAGCACTCTCTCTCCCAGTTGTTGACAACCGAAAATATGTCCAGACATCACCATATGTCCTGAGGGGCAAATTCACCCACGACTGAGAACCTCTGTTTAGAAGCAGAATCAGAGAGTGCATCAGAATCTCCTGGAGGACTTGTAAACGCACGCGGCTGGGTCTTCTCCCCAGTGTCTGATGTGGGTCCGAGGTGGGGTTTGAGAATCTGCATTTTCAGTAAGTTCCCAGGTGGTTCTGAAGCTGCTGGTGTGGGGACCACACTGAGAACCTCTGATCTATGCTACTTTGCTGGCCACTAAATATGTCATCCCCTATAAAACAGAAGTAACAACAATATTGACATTTCCAGAACATGGAAAGGTGCAACTTCAGGCAATCCTCTTGAGAATGGAGTTCAGGAGTTTAGAAACCACTCTCTTACAAGAAATTGGAAAACAGCTGTAAAATTTGTGGTTTATGGATCAGATGAAGGTTTGGTTTACATTTGCTCTACATTTAGTGATTTTTCTCAAATAATATTATTATAGAGATGACCAAATTGAAAAGAAATAATCTCAAGAGAAACAATAAAGGTGATAGCATTAAATCTTATTGGTCTATGAGATGGACATCCACCATCTTTATTCAGTGTTTTCCCAATTGCTTGTTAAGCTTCCTGTGATGAATTTTATATAAACTTCCAGAGGCTATATAAGAAAATCTGTACAACCCTCTTCACTTAGTGCCACATAATTTTTAATACCTTAACTAAACAATTTTTGTTGGAACAGCAGAAAACTGCTGGAATGAATGCTGATTGGAGAAAGAATAATGAAAGAAATCGTTATGGCCTGAATTTCAGGGAATGGCTTATATTTAATCTTCTAGATTTACCAGACATGACGGAACTCTGCAGAGGCATTTTTAGATCATTGCTTTTTAGCACTAATCAGCGTCTGTTCTGCATGCCTGGTGCTGATGTGTATTGTAGCCAAGTGAATCCGAGAAATAAAATGATCTATTCTTGCACCAGCAAGCTGCAAACAAAATCAATAGCCCTGTGCTGGCAACATTCTTTTATTGTTGTCTCCTTAATATCCTCTACTCTTTTGCAATTACTTTTATTATTACTGCTCGTTTAATGAGACCCTGGAGTTTGGAGCCAGATGGTGCAGTTAGTTAAATCTGAAAGACTCTAATGGAATTTGAGTTCAAACCAGGTTAAGAGTAATAGAATTACAAATCTTAGTGGTATCATCTCAGAGCACACTGCTCTGTGTACCTTTTACATACCAGAAATCAGTGCAGGCTTCAAACAGAAAGACTTGGATTAAGGTTCAGAGACACCAAGTGTGCTCACTCATTCATTCAACAAATATTTAATCGTGTTCCTATCTGGGTGCTGCAGTATAGCATAAACAAGACAAGCATGGTCCCTGCCTCATGAAGCTTGTAGTCTACTAGGAGAGAAGGACAATATCAAACAAACAAGCCAGATTGTTCTGCATCACCATAAGTGCTAGGAAGGAGAAAGCAGAGAGCTGACAAGGAGAGGGAGAGGAGAAAGAAGTTTAGGAGGGTGGCCATGGAAGCTCTCTGAGGAGATGGGAAGGAACTGATAAATAAATGGCAAGCAATAGGATATATTGGAGCATATGAGGAAGCCATTTGGTGTAAAACTAATTCTGCCTGACCTTGTTTTTCCAAAAGTGCTTGTGGCCTTTGAACATGCATTGTGTATCTGCTTTAAGCATTTACCACATCCCAAAGACAAGAACAAATGCCCTTAAGATAAGGATGCAACTTGCCCCACATTGGCATTTCCTTAAGGATAAGCATTTCTCCCTAGGATAGGATTTGATTGCTGCGTTCATCCTGTGACCACCCAACTCCAGACAGCAGACCTGCTACCTGCTGTGCTCATCAATCGCTGTGCTGGCAGGGTGATCTTGTGACTATTGTAAAAGGGACATTGCAATCATATGTGATACAAGCTCTTTGATGGTATATAACCTCTCTGTACACTCCACTTCTTTGGTGCCCTTCCTTCCTTGGGGAAGGAAGGCCCTGGGCTATATGGTCCTCAAATTTGGCTCATAATAAACTCGTCCTAATTTTGATTTATAGATTGATTATGGATTATGTGCATCAACAGAGCTGACTAGGGGAAAGCAAGAGGAATGTCATTATTGTTTGCTGGAAGGAATAGCATGTGCAAAGGTCATGGAATGGAAGTCATTTTGTGTCCCCGAGGAATTGCAAGGACACTGTATGGCTGGAACGTAGTGAAGGAAATAGGGTGACCCAGGATGAGCCCAGAAGCTGCTGGACCCAGAGATGCTGCTGCATGGGGTGCATGGGCAGTTAGATGCTGAGATTGTCCAGGGATTTTTCATATACCTTTGTGCAAATGTGCTCATGAATAAGACTCGTAGAAAGAAGGCTTTTCGGGTCAGGACAGTCAATATTCATGATCTGGGCAATATGTAAGTCAGAGCATGATTTTAAACCTTTGTGCAGAGGGCAGGTGAAACAGAGGCAATCTTTTGATTAATAAAGTCGCTTTACGTAGTAGGAGTAATTTAAAATTTCCACTACTGCAATTCCTGTAGGGCACATCTGTTGTGTTAAATCAACCCAGCATCTCCTCCTCCTCCTCCTTCTTGTGGGTAACAGTGCCTGGCCTGCCTCTGGCAAGCATCACCTCCACACACCACATCCTCTGTGAAATGACTACGGTCCCTTCCCCAGGATTTCCTTTCTGCTCTTTCTTCCTGGCCTGAGTCTCCTTCTCTCCTGTCGGATGCTTCTGCAGCTGTTGAGGCCCAGTTCAAAGAGACACATGACCACCCGGGAACCGAGGTCAGGAGGAGTGAGTGAACTGCCAATGTCCCCACCATCTCCAGGAATTCCTATAGCAATTTATGCTTCCCTTATTGGCACTTACATTTGCCTTGTTTAAGCAGGGTGAGCCAGATTATTAGTTCACTTAGATATTCTCTGCACCTGTTGCCTATACATAGCAGATACTAAAAAATATTTATTGAATTCTTACTAGCAGTTACCATTTATTGAGTGATTAATTTGCCAAGCATGTTTCCAAGAGTTTGTGCTTTAATCCTTATGTTATGGTTAATTTTATGAATCAACTTGGCCATGGTGCCCAGATGTTTGGTCAAATATTATTCTGGGTGTTTCTGTGAAGATAATTTTTAGATGAGATTAACATTTAAATCAGTAGACTTTGAGTAAAGCAGATTACTCTCTATCATGTGGGTGGGCCTCATGCAATCAGTTGAAGGTCTAAATAAACAAAGATTGTCCTGCCTTGAGGAGGGAGGAATTGTGCCAGCAGGCGGCCTTTGGACTCTAACTGCAGCTCTTCCCTGAGTCTGCAGCCTGCGGGTCCACCCTGCAGATTTTGGACTTGCCAGCCTCCACCATTGCATGGGCCAATTCCTTAAAATAAATCTATCTCTCTCTTTCCCTCTCCATACCTGGCCAATAATACACCCTACATCTGACCATTTATGCCCATTTTATAGATGAGGAAGTCGAAGTTCAGAGGCATTGAGTACCATGGCCAAGGGTACAGGCCTGACAAGTGTGGCACCAAGAGTCCAGCCCAGGTCTCTCGGAGCCACAGCACAGCACAGCTTCTTATGCGTGAATTGCAAGACTGAGAACACAATGACCTGCACGTAACACAAATTCTATTTACTATAAAGTTTCTCCCCTTTTTAATGATTCACAAACCAACTTGCAATCTTATAGTACATGAGAATCATCAATATGCAAACACCTTATTATCCAGGTGAAGCACAAACATGTCCATTAGCAGAGAAGGACGGTGGGCGGGAAGGTGTGTCACAGCCTTTCACTGCACAGCCTTTTACTTGCTTGGCATTTTTAGGTCCTAAAGATTAAATGATCTCCTTTACAGTCATAATTCCCAGAACAATCTTGAAATAACCACACAATTTTCATAAACAGTTGACTGCAAAATCTTTAGGAACATGAGAGGGAACTAAACAAACAATTGAAAATGGACCATTTTGTGCAAAATGAGATTACACCCCTTCTGCCCAAAAATGAAATTAAAATAAACAGAAATAAGCAGTACATGTGGATGAAATTAACAGAGAAAAACAAACAGCCCACACTGAGCGCCTGAGCCCCGAGCCTTGGGCTAAAGTCCCAAGCTGAGGTCAAAACTTCAAAAGTGGCTTCAAACTGGCACCTTTCCATGGGAAAAGCCAGCAGTCAACATTCACCCCAGGATCAATCGTTTCTGTTTAAGCTACAGACTGCTGCAGTCAGAGAGAGCAAACCAGGTCATGATCAACAAACAGCTGCTCTCAGGAGGACCGGTCACCCCTGAACGCATAGAGACAACCTCCCTGGCTCTGAATTAAAGTTATTCTTCCCAGAATGGAGAAGATGGTGATGAAGATGCTGATTGTGTTTGCTCTTGGAATGAACTACTGGTCTTGTGCAGGTAAGGAACTCAATGCACGTAACGATTGGCGCTGCCCTGGCCCGTGTGTCTTGTCTCACCGTGTCCTCACGTCCTTGTGTGTCTAGGTTTCCCCGTGTACGACTACGACCAGTCCTCCTTGACAGAAGCCCTCAGCGCCTCTGTGGCGAAAGTGAATTCCCGGTCCTTGAGTCCATATCTGTTTCGGGCGTTCAGAAGCTCAATGAAAAGAGTAAGTGCCCATCAGGTCTTCTCCATTCCTCTTTATACTGCTTTCTGTTTTGTTTTTTCTTTGTCGGTTTGTTGGGTATACTTTTTTATTTTTCCAGTTTAAAAAGATAATAGCTAGTCATCTGTTTCATACCGTCTTTTGATAGAGAAAGGATTTCATTACAATCGTTCTCATAAGGCTCTCAAGCTACTTTGGATGCCTGAGTCTTTGGCTGTATTTATCCCTCTGGCCTCACTGCCTATTTCCAGATGTTACCCTCTGTGCGTCCTGCTTTTGTATCCAAAGTCCTCATGGTTCCTCTCAAGATGTTTTATTAAGAACCGCTCGTTTATTAGAAATGAGGCTTTTTCAAGTTCAATGGTTCTGCTCCTAATACTTATAGGAAATAAATTCTTGCTTTGGAGCTAAAGAAATCCACCTTCCTGTGTCAATTTAGTAAGAGTCTGTTTCCTGTTAGCCTTGGGAAATAAGGAAAGATGAATTTTCTTGGGCCGCCAATGACTAAGTCTGTGATAAATGCAGAAATATCCTTCAAAGGAAACGAGAAACCTCGACAGCAAGTCCCTCCCTCCTCCCCCCCCCATCCCTCGGAGATTTCACCTCCCAGTGGAGTTCCCCCACCAGGAGGGACAGAAACACTCTCAAGCTAGTTTAGGTTAAGAAGGGAGGTGGGAGAGGTTCTATAAAGTTGCAGGTCCTGTGAATGAGAACTCCGCAGCCAGGCCACGTGGGAACTGGAGTGGAGATGTGGCCAGGGGTCCAGGCAGCAGCTGCTCCCTCACGGAGGCCAGATGGCCATTGCTGTCTCTCTGTCTGCCTGCTGGCTTCTCCTCTCCCTGATGGCGCCGCCTTAGCTCACACTTAACTTGTTCCCTCTCATATTGTGAAAAGCACATCGCTCATGTTTTTTAGGTCTGGTCCTCTAATACAATATATTCATCTTGACCCTTCTTCTTTAGAAACTGTCTCAGTTTCTCATTTCCAGATTCCTAAGAAATTAATCAAATTGTCCCAGTTCTTTTATCATTGAGTCATATGTCATGGAGACGATGGGCTATGCTTTAGTTACGTGCCAGCCCGGAACCAGGCTGTTGTGGCCAGAGTGGGGTCACCTGGCCTGGGTGTCCTGGTGTGGAGGCACTGCCAGATACATGCAGTTAGCTGCCAAGCTGAAAGGTGAATTCCTTCTGGAAAAGCACTAGACAGGAATGAGGAAGCCCCCTCCTTGCACACTGGCTGCATTGGCCTCCATGTTTGCATTTAATGAAATCCACTTGTGGTGTGGGAGAATCGGCGTCCTCTTGCCCAGCTTTTGGATGAACAGTTCAAATTTATTTGTGATTTAACTAGTGCCCACAGCAGAAGAAAGTTGGTAGTTAATTAAATGAATAAGAGCATGAGGACAGGACCTGAGAAAACCAATCACTGACACTGTGGAAATCTGGCCTGGGGAGACGAACTAGCCTGACACCCAGGGCACATTCTGGCACATGCACCATCTTGGTATCACAGACTTGAGCCCAGACACACACTCACCTGCAAATAAACACACTTACATATGCGTAGGTGGGACCTTTCACTAGTACGTAATAAGAGATGCCTCTCTGCCTCCTGTACGCTGCTCTTCTTTCTGGAAGTCTGCCCATTCTTGCTTCTTCCCAGCCTTTTCTGATTATTCACATTCATTGGTCAAGCTGCGTTCACCATGCCCCTTCCATGGAAACTTCATTTCTTCTCCCATCAGAAGGGAAACCCTTCTCCCTTGATCTCTCCTGGTGATGTTTCTTTTCTCTTAGGAGTGGTTCACATTTTGCTTTATTACACACGTTAGTCATGCCTTCTGCAAACCCCCTAAAGATGGCCCCAAATATACCAATTCTCTCCACGCTAGTGGACACCAGGGAGACTCAGAGGTAAGCAAAGTCCTCAGGAGAGAGATGAAGGCACAGACCACTGCACTGAAGGTACAAACAATTCTGCAAAGAATAAATACAAATGAGTGTGACACACTTGGAAAAAATATTCGACCTCTCCGATTGCCAAAAAAATCAGAATTAAAATAAGACGGTGAAAAAGAAGAATAACAAGGCAAAAAAGAAATCTCAAACACTGCTCGAGAGAATGGAATTTGGTAATATTATCTTTGGAAGGCAATTTGGAAATGTGTTAAGCATATTTATAAGCATGTTAAATATTAAAAATAGCAAATATTTAAAATTTTTGATCTCATAGTTTTACTTCTAGGAATATGTCCAAAGGAAATAAGTGGTTCAGTCATGTTTATATATGTGCGGAGTTTGGGGTAGAGTTCAGTGGACATAGGGTGAAGGGTCAGGCCCTGCTGCTTTATCCCTGAGTTTGCATAATAAGCCCAGTGGCTCTCGACCCCACTGCTCATCAGCATCCCCTGGGAGCTAGAAATATTCCTGACGTCTAGGAAGGATGGTTGACTAATTTAATCTCAGTCTCTGAGAGTGGGGATCATATTCTTACATATTCTCCTGGTCATTCTAACGTGCAGTCAGAGTCAAGAACCATTGGGTTTTATCAATGGACCTGGATCAAATCCTCTTGCAATTGATTTTTAGTTACTTACCTCTTGGGCTCCAAGTTTAAAAGAGGATGGGAAAGGTGAGGCAACATGACTTCAGCAGCGACGGTTTCCTTGCTGCAACGTTGGCATGAGGCTCTCTCAGACTGTTCCCCCAGTGGACACAAGCAGAGAAAGGAGGTGGATACTGTGCTGGGGATGAGGAAGAGGAGAGGGTGGATGAGGCTGTGCTTTCGAGAAGCTCCGGTTCTACTGGGGAGAGAGAGGAGGGAGAGGAGGGGAGGGGAAGAAAGGAGGGGGGGGTGCACGATTACATAAATAGATGAAGTTAGTTTCAGAGAGTGGAGGATGCTGTGGAGAAAATAGATTAATGGATGGCTGGACCTGGGCTGGGGCTGGGGCTGGGGTGGCCATTAGGTGGGCAGAAGTCTCCATGGAGGCTGCCATATTTGAGTTAAGACTCATTCAGTGACAAGAAGTTCCAGCCCTGGGAAGACCAGTGGGAGGGCCCTGAAGGACCAAAGGCCTAGACAGAGAGTCTGGCTAGAGCCAAGTGTGTGTGCGTGGGGGTGAGATCAGAGAGGTGGGCCTGAGTTGGGACATGCCTAGGGCATGATCTGGAGGAGTTTTGGGTCTGTTTTAAGGACAATGAGTAGCCCCTGTGGGGCTGTGGGGAAGCCTTTGAACAGAGAAAGTGCATGAAGACCTTTGCATTTGTGGAGGATCTCTCTAGCTGCTGTGTGGGGGGATGTGAGGGAGGAAGCCCAGACAGCGACAGTGGGAAGCAGGCAGCTGAGCCTCGTGTGGGCTCAAGGCAGTGGGGAGTGGACGGACTCGGGGACATCTGAAAGCAAAGCCACAGACGGTTTGGAATCCTTCATGAGGTCATGCCCACTTCTGTCCATTTTTACCTTTTATCTTTGCATTTTTTGCTTTTTGTCTTTCTAAATTATTCTTAGCCAGTTCTAGCTGATCTTTCCTTTTTTCTAATAATAAGGGATTAGTTTTAAAAACCTAAATGATCACCGTGTTAGCTAGGTTTCTGCAGAGAAACAGAACCAATAGAATATGTATGTGTGTATATATATGTACTATGTACTATATATATAAATGTGCTATGAAGGACATATATATGTGTGTGTGTGTGCATGTGTGTATAAATACACACACATATATATATTTATAAAAAATGAGACAAAGAGAGAAAGGGAGAGATTTATTTTAAGGAATTGGTTCATGCTATTGTGGAGCTTTGGGAAATCCAAAATCTGCAAGGCAGGCAAGCAGTCTGCTGGCAGAGTTCTTTCTTGCTCAGGGAAAGTCAGTCTTTGTTCTAATTGGGCCTTCAACTGATTGGATGAGGCCCACCCACAGTATAGAGGGCAATCTGCTTTACCCAAAGTCTACCTATTTAAATGTTAATCTCATCCAAAAAACTCCTTCACAGAAATCTCCAGAACAACGTTTGACCAAATACCTGGGCACTGTGGCCCAGTCAAGCTGACACATAAAATTAACTATAACAATCACCAAAAGGAATTGTTATGGGTCTTTTATTGCTTGTATATTTTTACTACTTTTTGAAATAAAAACACAAAATATGCTCATTATCAGAAGTCAGAAAATAAAACAAGAAAGAAAAAACCAAAAGTAACACCCATTATCCATTCCTCTGAGACACCCACTACGAATATGTGGGAGGATATCTTTTTGGGTTTTTTCTTTTCGTATGTGGGTATAAAATATTTTTTTTAAGAGAAACAGGACCACACTGTAATGCCGATTGTAAAGTATCACAGTTTATTTCAGCAACAATGCTGGATTCTGGATTTTCTTCAGTTGACTCCGTGTTGTTGAGCCTTCAGGTTGTCCCACATTTTTCAAACAATTCATAGTGGAAATTCACTGGCAGAAAGTGAGTTCAGAGGAAAAAGCAAATCTGTTAGGCTTTTCTCCATATTCTGGAAAGAGTGCTTAAAAGTGCTTAAAGATGCAAAAAAGCTTGCAAAATCATCTCATAGTGTAATAAAACTATCATTACTCACAAAACCCACAATTTCAGCCTTTTAACTAAGCTTTTGTGTCGCCAGTTTGCTTTCATGACACGGCTGGAAGGGAAATTGCTGAAGCGTGATGGAGCTTGTGGAGAGCTCCCACAATGCACTCCAGCTGATGGAAGAGGTTTTCATTTTTTATGAGACTCCGATTTAATAGCCAATAGTTTAAAATTATAGATAGAGGAGGTAGTAAATAAGGGCGAGGCTGAGTTTTTAGTCCTGCTTGTGTTCAGGAAACTCGACTTGTATCAACACTCCTCCTCCCTATGTTAGGAGACATGAGACCCCCATCCCAGGCTTGGGGTTTGCCACTGATTTCCAAAACAAGATTTTCTTTCTTTTTTTTTTTTTTTGTGAGGAAGATCAGCCCTGAGCTAACACCCATGCCAATCCTCCTCCTTTTTTTTCCCCAAAGCCCCAGTAGATAGTCGCATGTCATAGTTGCACATACTTCTAGTTGCTGTATGTGGGACGCGACCTCAGCATGGCCAGAGAAGCGGTGGGTCGGTGCTCGTCGGGATCTGAACCCTGGGCCGCCAGAAGTGGAGCGTGCGCACTTAACCACTAAGCCACTGGGCCGGCCCTAAAACAAGATTTTCTACAGGTGCCCATTACTCCCTGCCTGTAAGCGGGCTGTGCCCCATGGAGCGTTGTCATTTCTTCTCTCCACTCTGGACAGTAGGATGAATGTGTTGTTGACTCAAATTTGGCACAAGGTGGGCTGAGGAACTAAAAGGGAAGAGATTTTTGGAACCTAGGGGTGCTGTCGGCTAGCGGACCACGGCGGGCTCCCTCCTGGCCTCCCTGCCGCCATCTTGTTTTTGCCCCAGTATGTTCTCCTTGCAGCAGCCATAGTGACTTGGCTCTTATCTCGTAAGTTCCTTTGAGAACTTCTCATTGCAATGAGAATGAAATCAAAACACCTTCCTATGGGCTACTAGGCTACAAATTATCTGACACACCCCATCTCTCCAACATCATGGTGTATGGTTCTCTTCTTGTTCATTTTGCTTCAGTCACAACAGCTGGACTTGTTCTGCCCCAGGACACTGGCTCCGCTTTTTCTTCCCATGATGGGCTCCTTGCTATCCTTTAAGTCTCAGCTGAAATGTCCCTTCCTGGGGAGGATTTCTCTGGCACCTTCTCTAAAGTAGCTGCTTCCTCCTCTCCACCAATTACCATGTTGTTTTTCCTTCATGGCATCATAACCATCTGGAATGATCTTGTTTAGTTTTCATTAACATGTTTACTGTGTGGCACCCTCACTGGAATCCAAACTGCGTGGAGACTTCCCAGCTCTGCCTCTAGTGCTGGACACACAGTGGACACTCAATAAGTCATGGGACTTCCGTGTCTTCAGAACATCACAGATTCATTGGGAAGTCTGGAAGCTTCCCCCAGTATCCCACCCTTGGTGGAAAGGAGTAGGAAATTGTGTAATCTCATTCATAGATCAGAACCTCTCAAGCAGGAAGTGGGGCTGGACTACCCCGCACAGCAGAGATGTATGTGCCGCTTACTTACTTATTTCAGGAATTGAGAAATTATGGAGCATTCTATTAGGAGATTGACACTTAAAAATACATACAGTCGATTCTCATAATTCATGGCAGTTATGTTCTATAAAGACTCTGCAAACACTGAATTAGTGAACACCGAACTGATGCTTCTGGGGAAATACAGGGTTAGGTTCCTGCAAGACTCTGGTCATAATATTTTCATCAACTGATCAACACATAACCTAGTTTTATGTGTGTTCTGTTTAAAGACACTTTATTTAATATATATATGTTGATGCCTTAACACTGAACTCATGGCCACCAGCACCATAATTCGTGCCTGAACGAAGCTTATCTAACACACATTTTCTCCATAAGGCACATCACAGCCCTCTTGTGCTTAGAAGCACTAGACAGCACATCAGCACTACACTAGGGGACCATTTTAAACAGCAAAAGCACCAAAACAAGAAAAACATGGCACGAAATAGACCATGAAAATGACACTTGTCTATAGTATGAGCTGAAACAAGAAGGCAGAGTGTCACCTTTTTTGATCTCAGTTGGGGACATTGTGCATCAGGTGACAAGTTTTTTGCCACTCTGCGCATGTCCATGAATGACTGTGAAAGGACCTTGACTATTGATTTGGGGGTTATAAACAAATTTTAGCAAGTAGGCAAATTCATAAATAAGGAATCTGCAAATAATGAGGATCAATGGTAAACGTAAGTCATTAGATATAACACCTACCTCGGGATTAGGACACCTATGTTCCAGTTCCATTTTCTCACTAAAGGATTGTCTGTCTTTGGTGAAGCACCTCTTCCTCTGGTCTTGAGAATGAGGGCATGGAACTAGGTGATTACAAAGACAACTTATAGCTTTAATGGTGGAAGATTCTGTAACATTCTTATTGTGTGGGGAGGAACATGTCTAGCATTGTGAACTTCAGAAACACATCTTTGGCAAACCGATGCTTTGTTTTTATGAAGGTCAACGTCCTGGATGAGGACAGCTTGAGCATGGATATAGAGTTCAGCATTCGAGAGACGACGTGCAGGAGGGATTCTGGAGAAGATCCTGCTACCTGTGACTTCCAAAGGGGCTACTATGTGGTAAGTGTGTGAGAAAGGCTACCATCCCAGAAACGTGGGAAGCACCTTGTCTTCTTCCATTATGTGGAGCTGATTCGGAGTCACGCTGAGAGCTTGGCCACTGCCTGGCCTCTGGCCACGCTGGGAGGCACCATTAACTGCATCCACACTGTGTTCCTGGGCTGGGGCAGTGTGACTCAGTGGTTGAGGACTTGAGCTGTGGGGTCCGTGGTCCTGAGTGATCCTGGGAAATTATTGAACCCCTGTTGCCTCACTTTCCTGCTCTTGAAAAAGAGGATAACGATGGCTCCAGGTAGAGTGAATACAAAGACGTCAACACCAAAGAAAAACCCCAGAGGCATTTTGAATTCTATTTTAAATGAATTTAAAACACCAACTACATTCGAGTTGCATTATTTTGTAGTTGACAGTTAAGTAATATCTGTCACATCTGCTCCGCCCCCCGACCCTGGGCTCCGTGAGGTCAGGACCATGGCATGTTCATTTGGGCATCCCCAGCAACCAGAACATGGTCCAACACTTGGTTACATCCCGCCTGTACAGGCCAGCACCATCAACCCCAGATTTGATCTCCAAGGTATTTACCTTAAGATGCACGAGTACTCAGGGTTCTGTTACTTTATCAGTTTGATTATGTCAGGGTTGCTTTACAATGATGTAAATTCTGAAAAGGGGATCCTTTGTTTTGTTATCTTCATGAGACTTTTCGCTGTGATTCTGTTTTACAAAGGATCCAAAGCCGAGTGTCACAAGCATCTGTTTCTAACGAAATCCGAGGCCAAGGGAGAAGAGAGCAGAGTCCTTTGGGGCTCTTCCCATTTCTTTCTGTTGCAGGGGGAAAGGAGTCAAGGCAGCCCATCAGGTTTCATGAAGGGAACATTGGCTTCCCCCGGGAACTTGTATCAAATGCCCAAGAGATATTTAAATATTTCATTTGTTTCTGCTTAGGTCTTGAGGAATTTTCATTTTGGAGAAATGAAATGCCTCTGTGAACTTTTCCTATCTGTCTGCATCATTTTGTCAAGCCCTGCAGTATTGCCTCATTTCTTGCCCTTTCTATGAGCTGCTGAAGATGTAACTCATGGTTTCGCCTTTTCCAGCCGGCAGCCGTTTGCAGAAGCACCGTGCGGGTGGCTGCCCAGCAGGTGCAGGACGTGTGGGTTCGCTGCCGCTGGTCCTCCAGCTCCGAGTCTAGCAGCAGCGAAGAGGTATGACCAGGGGTTTGGCGTCCTCCGGGACAGCACCTCTTAGGGTCTGTGACAAGCAGACTGGTGTGATAGAGTAGCCGGAACCTCCTCCAGGCACGGGCAAGCACAGGTCTGCTTACTCGGCTGGATTCTCTCTTTAACACCTGCAGTCTTGTTTTCAATATCCCTTACTTCTTCCAGTCTCATCTTTCACTTTCTCCCTCTCTCTCTGTTTCCCTGAGATTAGGGAAACAGAGAGCTTACAGTAACAACTAGCAAATCTTCAAAGTTTGAGATCTAAGTATGCAGCTCATTGGCGTTGTGGTTTAGCGGGATGGAGAGGGACATTTTTGTGGGACCAGTGTTCAAAACTGGTTACCAGCTCTGCAGTCGAGGTCAGGATACTTAACCTTCATAATCTGCAGTGTCTTCATCTGTTAAATGCCAGGAATAAAGACCCCCTGATAGGTTGTTGAGAGAACTGAGTAAGTTGATGGACATGAAACATCTGGTCCAGTGTCTGGTACCTTACAGACGCTCAGTGAATGGCTGGACATGTCCTTTTTCCTTCAGTTGTATTGAAATTGATTTGCGATAATACTGCAAAATTAATAGTATATAAATTTCTGACTTAAAATTATATTACATATTTATTTGTCTGTTTATTGACTGCTTTCCTTATTGAAATGTGTGCCTCATAAGGACAGGTAATATGTTTGTTTTTGTAGGTCTAGGACAATGTTTGATGCAGGGTAGATGCTCAGTAAATCCTTGTTGAATGAATACAAAAAACTGAGGCAGAAATGGTCAGAAATACAATACAAGGAAGAAGCCTCTTGAACCTAACTAGGGATAAAAACATAACTGTTACATTATTTGTTTATTCGTAATGGGGTGACATTCTTGACAGGTATTTTAAAAATGTTCCTACCGTTATACACCGAATCTGTCCAACAATATATTTCTCTATTCATATTTTTATTCAATTTTTCAAAGATTCAATTCTGTAGTGAAAATTACAAGAGAGTACAATTTCAACTTAAAGAATTATACATAAAAGTTAATATTCTCATATTATTAACATGCCCACGCCTTAAATATTTTGTCTGGAAGTCTATTTTAGAATTAGGAGGCTATGAAACTAATGACTGAGGAGCCCCTGTTACAGGGGATGGTTCTATTGCTAGAAGGAGAACTTTGCACAGGTTATTAGAACCTTCTCCACACAAATGTTCAGTTGAGCATCACCTTATTGCTTGATCTCGTTCACACTGGCAACTTCTGAAAATCATCCCCAAGTGATTTCCCCAGGATCCTGTTGTCTTGGTTCTAGGGTCAGAACCAAGGGCCTCCTTTTTTAGACTTCATTGATGTATCTAGGAAGTCTGATATGTTTCATAGTTGACACACTCGCATGCTTGTGGCGCAGCTAACCCAGCAATAACAAGGACCAAGCATATCATTTCACAAGCATTTTGTTCATATTGATTTTGTGGTTTATATGAGAAAACATAGGGAGACAGTGAGGAGCAAGACCAGAACAGTCCTGGCCCTTGTGGAGTTTATAGATGAGTCTGGAGGAGTGTCCGTTAAACAGCGGTTACCCTGGCAACCAGGCAAGCATTTGGGAGCACGTAGGGAGAGGACAGAATATCGTGTTGGGGCAAAGAGAGCTTCCCTGCGGAATTGAGTTCAAATTGAAAACTGGAGGGTTGGTGGACATCAGGACAAAGGGACAGGGTAGGGGGAGGAGGCAGGAAAAGAGATTCTAAGCACAGGGGAGATCATAAAGGAGTACCCTAAAGTGCGAGAGAAGCTGGAGGGTTGAAATGGACGGAAATCCATTGACTGGAATGAGCAAAATACAGGGGAGAGAGGGGTGGGGCTGGAGAGGAACAACAGACAGGTCAAGATGGACCTCATGGGTCATGTCAAGGATCCCTGGCTTGATCCTAATGGCAGTGGGGCTATTGAAGGATTCTAAGTAGGGCAGTGACAGAATAGATGAAGAATAGGTTGGAACGAGGTCAGAGCAGATGGGGAGCTAGGAGGCTGGCAGGACAGGTGAGAGAGAATGCTAACTGGAGCTAGGAGTTAGTGGTGAACATTGAGGAAATGGATTCTAGTTCATTCTATGACCTTTAACACAATTTAAATTAATTTAATAAATGGCCCCCTAATTTAACTTCTTTTTCATGTCTGATTTGGGAAGTTGATTATGATTGTTTGTGGAGCCCACAAATCTGTTCCAACTCTCTAATTGCATCATGAAGACCACTCACTATTCTCCCAATCTCAAGCTTTGTAAGAAGACTTTGACACTAAATTAAGTTAGCCCCCGAAACAAACAAGAGTTTAAAATAAACTCCCAGTTTGCTTTTCCTCAAAGATTAGGAGATGGTAAAGAATTATGAACAAATTAAAAAAAAAGAATTCCTTAAATTAAAGAATTCTGCAATTCAGAAGAAAGAGGAGAAAACAGATGGAGATATAAAGTAATTCCTGGAAACTCTAAAATAGATTTCTTACATGAAACAGAAAAAAAAGTTAGAAAACAGCTGTTAACTATTTTCAGTGAAATAAATAGTGATATTTCAGACATGAAAGACCTTAGACTAGGATGAATTTCAGACATAGAACAAATAACTCATTGTTGGAAGTAGGAAATAGAAGAAATAAAACTGAAAAAAAATCCCAGAGTAATGAAAATCAAGATCACTTGAAAAACATATGTAGAATATAGACGAATTTCCAAAGAAAGAAATATAATGTAAAGAAAGATGGAAATCATGGAGAAGACCAAAAATCCCAATTATGATGAATAAGGACTTAGATCAAATGGAAAATATCTAGTAAGGATATAATGAGAGAAACTGTCTTGAATATAAGTTGGGGTTTTCCACTACATAATTTTAAAAAGTATAACAGCTATAAAGAAATTTGAGAAAATAAATTTCGTTTTTTTTTTAGTCTAACTCTTACTTTAATATTAGAGTTTTTTTTAAAATTTTTTGTTTATTGCAGTAACACTGGTTTATAACATTGTATAAATTTCAGGTGTAAATCATTATACTTCTATTTCTGCATAGATTACATCATGTTCACAACCCAAATACTAATTACAACCCATCACCACACACATGTGCCGAATTATCCCTTTCGCCCTCCTCCCTCCCCCCTTCCCCTCTGGTAACCAC